GTCGGTAAAACATGAATGCCTAAGGGATTCAGGAAATTGAATAGTCAATAACCGTAAACTCGAGCTTCCACCTCATTTCTTCAAAATAATAGACTCAAATACCCTCCCAGCCATGCGTATTGATATTACTGTTGCGGGTTGAGATGCCCTTTTCGCAAAACTGCTCTTTTGCTCCGGCCAGCGTTCGCCCATACTATGGGCAAAGTATGTTACGTTTTGCAAATCGGCGTCGCCAACTCCTTTCCGTTCCGAGGAATGCCTCTCGAGGACCACAGTACAGCGGCTGTCGATTCATTCCTTCCAGAACATAAATGTAACCCTTCTTTAACCTCCTTGTCAGGGCGACGTTCGCATCTACAGTCTAATATACCGTTCTCCTGCCGTCCACGGTGGTGTTCTTACGTGTGGCAACGTCAAGATATATTGCTGGCTAAGGTATAAGCTGCCACCGGCCTATGGATTAGGTAAGATGCCGACTAATTCTGGCATGTTCGAGAAACCAGCCGGAACGGCGATACTGGCTCGACGAATGGCGCACTACAAAGTGAACATCGGCGCTCCCGGCTAGAGGAGAGTGCCGGTCATACACTAGTTTAAAGTTATTCCTGAAAGGGGCGAGAATTAGTCGGCATCTTACCTAATGCGTATGTCATGGCCTAGTGAATGGTCCATTGTTACTTATTTTAATGTTGATAACGAAGAGCGGAAGCGTACTTATCCGTCCTACTGAAATTTGTATGTGCCACCATTAGCACGGGTTTTGCCGGTCGGGAAAAAGTGTTGTAAACTAGCGATGCACAGGCCAGGAGGAATTGCGAACAGGTTCATTGCAGACGCGATGCTACCGGTTCCATAGGCCTCCTTAACAGATTCTATCCCATAGGCCGGTGGCAGCTTATACCTTTGCGAGCAATATATTTTGACTGCCTGTAACGCGATAATGTAACTGAAGCTAATTCCAGGTGAAATATACATAATTATTTTCGGATCGCGTGAAGAAAGGTTGCACATGAAGCAGTTACCGCAAGTTTGCGCATCCGGAGGAAATCAAACAAAAAAGTGTCAAGTAATAAACCCCGTCAACGTTCATGCCGTCGGTTTCCCGTATACCGGTATGGCGCCAAGTCGCGTTGGCATTATCTGACAACTTTCAGTAACATTGTTATTCCCGGCTGAACAAATTTGGAATTCTCCACTTCTCCTCTCCTGAGACTCCCGTCCGACCTACAAAATGATTGTTTACATTCTTCCAAAGGCTGTCCCCTTCTCCCCTAGAGCGCTGGCTGCTCTCTCACTCAAATGCACATGACTGAATGATGACCTCCCCCGGTCTCGGCTCTTCTTTCGATTTTAACATTTCATATTTCACATGGCGACCACCGTAAAGGACATGGCATGGGCGAGCCAGCTGTCCGTCCCTCCTCCCCCTATTACTCCGAGAACCACTCGTCGACCCACCCCACCACCACTTGCAACCCCCCTTGCCAGTACAGAATTGTTTCTATTCACGTCTGCTCCCCCCCTTTTGGCACTGGTGTTTTAAGACCGATGGGAACCCACAGGAATTGCCTCCTGGAATCTTATAAAACCAGATCCACGCCCCCTTGACCGACTCCCTTTAGTCTTGACTTGGAATATCCATTGTTGAGGTTTGTGGATATATATTTTGCTATTTCTCTTAACAGTACTGTACCACCTTGGTACTTATCACTGGTTTTGGCGTACGCATGACGGCTGGATACAGTCGGAGAAGTCAAGTAACGAAACAAAAAAAATATACTTAAAGCACTGAGTCAATTTGCAGCTATCCTGCTTCGGAATTTTATTTGTAACTAGCTCAGGAAATTAATATTTCAAATTCTTGTCAATGAGGACGAATGTCCCTGGTGCATCCTACGTTACGATGACATTATTATAAATAAAAGTGAACGAATTCAAATCATTTATCCTGTTAAATCACTGAAACGCAATTCTTGTAAACAGAGTTGAGAGATAATGATAAACGCAGAGCGGCGGCCCCCATCAATTTCGATCGAAATATACCTATATTAAGGAAAGGTCCAGGTTAAAAATTACACCAGAGTAATCACTGCAATTTGTTTTTTTTAGATGTTTATGATGATATTTTGCCGTTAAAGTTGTTTGACAGCATCAACGTAGTTCTAAACACAACCTGACAGAGACAAGCAAAAACGATCTATGCAGATTAATACTGATAGCTGACAAAAGCGCATTTGAGAAAATTGCACTTCGTAGCATCATTCGAAAATCGATCTTTGGTTTTAATAACTGCAAAGATAATGTTTCAACAGTTGGCTGATGTAGACTGCAAGAAAATTATTTTACTTAATACCCATCAAGCATTTGGGACACACAGCCTATTCAGGTTTAACTGTCGGCGGCGGCCTTTAGAATTCGCTTTACCGCGTCTGTTTATTGACAGAAATTTCACTTTTCCATTTCTAGCACTTAAAATTTACGCTAACGAAGGAACATTTGATTGCTATCAGTCTAAATGATTTATATTTGTGGCCCTGAAAAGTGTGCACTACAGAGGTCAGCTCACGGGCAACCTCTGTGTACATTGATTCATCGTTACTGCTGATTCAACCAGACAAAGTACTCCAAGCAGGGGGGTGGGGAGTAATCTGATCCAAGACTGTCGGTATGCTCAAAGGGGAGAAAACTGGAGTTGTGCAGGTATGAGGTTATCGACGTAAGCCACACCTGTCCGTTGCCACCCGTAAGAACACCACCGTGGACGGCAGGAGAACGGTATATTAGACTGTAGATGCGAACGTCGCCCTGACAAGGAGGTTAAAGAAGGGTTACATTTATGTTCTGGAAGGAATGAATCGACAGCCGCTGTACTGTGGTCCTCGAGAGGCATTCCTCGGAACGGAAAGGAGTTGGCGACGCCGATTTGCAAAACGTAACATACTTTGCCCATAGTATGGGCGAACGCTGGCCGGAGCAAAAGAGCAGTTTTGCGAAAAGGGCATCTCAACCCGCAACAGTAATATCAATACGCATGGCTGGGAGGGTATTTGAGTCTATTATTTTGAAGAAATGAGGTGGAAGCTCGAGTTTACGGTTTTTGTGAAGGATACCGGACAACAGACGACGTGGGTGCCGATGGTTTGGGCCAAAAAATATGCCGAGATGTGAAGGCTATGTAAGATAGCGAACGCCGCAACGGGAATCAGTTTCAGACACATTATCTCGACGATCATAATTAAATGTACAGTCGATAGCGGTGAATTCACGTATCCGTAACAGGGAAACCCCTCAGGTCAAGTCAACCGACCCCGGGGCACTAGTGGATGCGGTGATGAATCGGAGATCTGCAGTCAACCTAAAAGAAAACATTGAGAAACCTACTCGGGCGACGTAAGTGGACGCACTTAGGCTACCTGGACGCAGGGATTGGTGGGTATTTTTGTGGTTACTTCACTACAAATAAAGTGGAGAAATCGGTCTAGGTAGGTGCTTTGCGAAGACTATCTGACAGCGGGCCGTTTTGGCCTCGATGGCGCATTTGGGTAGTTTGACAAGGATATGAAGCCGACGATAGTCAACAAAGGCGATTAATCAAGCGGTTTGGGGAACTTGACAAGATTAACTATACACAAATTCACCGCGAACGGTGTTATGGAAGGTAATCATAACTCGGGAACCCCTCAGGTTCGGCCAACCAACTGACAGAACTCACCAGCTGTGATAAACTGAAGCATATCTTGGGACGCTTAGCACAATTGTTGGAAATTGCGATATGTAGCCAGCTAAAGGGGACAAGTTTATGAAATGCGGCCTTAGAACATGCAGGCGTGAAAGCAAAGGATGAAAGTTCTGCAAGCCAAATGGCCGATGGTGAATACGGTGAAAGGGAATGGTGTGGGTCATCTAATCACGTTATCAATATTTAAATCCAAGGAAAAGGACAGTGTGTAAGCAATCGTAACAAGAAAACTCCTTGAACTTTGAGGACCGCTTTAGATAGTTCACCGGCTATGTTCAGCCGTGGCCACTACGGAGGCGCTAGGGGTTGCTATATGGAACTGAGTATTTGCACCTAGCCGAAAGGAGAACAATTTTTATTTTACCACGGTTTCCTCCAGGCATGACAGCCGATAAAATTTAGGCGTGTTTCAATGATAACATTTATGCGGGTGGTGCGGCTGGTAATGTGGTCGGCTATGTGAACCATAGTACAGCAGGCGAAAGGGGATGGGTCGGAACACATGAACGTGTCCACTCTAAGTAACGTTACCACAAACGACGATGAATGAAAATAGTCTCATTTTGGGAACTTATTCGGCCTGAAACAGTCGCAGACAACTTATTCTGAGATGGCTGTAGTTAGTGACATGCCAGGACGACAACGAGGCTTAGATGAAAATGTCTCAGCGGGCTATGCAAGTTATGCGGGATTGCTAGCGGACGCGAAAGGAAATAAGTCCACGACGGGCCTCGTAGGAAAGGATAGGGCGAACACGAGACAATCTCCAACCTCCTTTAGTAAGAAAAGTACACCGTAAACTACCTAAGGTGAGGGTGTAGGGATTGCCTTGTTGGGACTAATTACAGCGGAAAACAGGGGACAAAGTCTGATTTACTTAACATTCAACCGCTATTTATGTATGTGCGGTAACTCGATTTTGGCCGATCGGCCTATCAGGCACATAAAATAAGGAGATAAATATTCCATAAAATATACAACAGATTTCGCTCACCGTTTTCCATTTAACGTTATAAATTAAAGCATAATAGAGACCAAACATACCTGTGTGAATAACGCGTCGGCGATGACAAACTAATCGAAACCTTGATTATCACGTCATGAGACCAGTTGCCTCGTCTGTACTCGCGAGAGGGCGGCAGACACTACTTATCCAATTGGACGAGATGCACGAAGTACAAATACCCGATGACAACTCACAAATTATTAAGGAAGATGGCACTGCGGAGAAGATAACTGAGTCGCCACTGACTGAACTAAGAAAATAAATCTGCGTCCAAACAACTAGGCAATACATCCTCACCGCTAGCCCTCACCAGTAAGCATATTCCTTGCCAAAATGAACGGCAATCCAAAACACCTGAGCTCCTTACTAAATATATGTTCAAATATACCCCCATTACGCGTGCCACTAGGCATCGCGCGGCCAGAAAAGGCAAGTACTTGAAAAAATGCCATGCTCTAATAAATTCGCTCCTCGCGAAAAAAAACTACAAAAACCACGGCAAATTAAAAATGTCAAAAAAGAAAAAAATCGGCAACAGTTAAAGCGTAAATTAAATAGAGGAAAATCATGCGCCCACGCACACGTAAGCTATGGTTCTTCAGGTTGCTCCTTTCGCAAAAGTTCTTCCCACACGACTCACACGTATACTTTCGCCGATGTGAAATGCAAAATTAGTTGCATCTATCATGGGCTGGCTTACACAGCTTTGTCCTCACGTAACATCATCAGTAATTAAACCCGCACCTCACAGAATACGGTAGGCATGCCATCTGTCAAGCCTTTGCTTCTGAAACAGGGAAACTATCAACATACAGACATCTGACAACTCCCGCCCATACAATACGCGTAAGAATTCCGTTGGTTTTATATTCTAACCTTACCGCTCCTATATCATAAAAACAGCTTCAAGGGCACATTAAATCTACCTGCAATGCGAAACCATTTCAATAACTGTAGCAACTTGATCCAAGGTATCCTCCAGACGTCAAGTGTATAAAACGCTTAATTAACCTTACCATCCGCATAATGAGTGAAACTTGCCATTAGATACCTTCCTTAAAATTTACCGTTATCCCTTAATGCACAGTAAACATAAAACATACCTGTGACGAGGAACTGATTTTGATGACAAACTAAACGACCCCTTAATTATCACTTAATGAGATCAACTGCTTGGTGAATACATACAATATGGAATTGCGGGGGGAAGCAGAGAGATGCATGAAGTTAAGCACGCCCGGTGACGGCTCCCTAGTAATTAGAAATTACAACCTTAAAGCAATACGGATAAGAGTCGCAAGTTACTCAACTAAAAAACGAATTTGCGTCGAAATAACTACGCAATACATCCTCACCACTAGCCCTCACATATTCATCAGCAAGCATATTCCTTGCTTAAATAAACGGCAAGCCAAAACACCTGACCTCAATACTGCATCTCAAACTGAATATTCTAGAGTGGGGTTCCAAAGTACCGCCATCACGTCTGTCCTAGAAAATACGTGGTCAGAGAAAGTATTCGGAAAAATGTCAAACACAAATAAATCCACTGCTTGCGAAAAGAGCGGTGAAAATACGACGCTGAATGACAAGACGACGGAAAATATAAAAACCCGTCACATGAAAGTGTAAATTAGGTAGAGGAGAAAACATACCTTCGTGGACGCATTCGATATGTCCCTTCAGGGCGCTACGCTGGCTAAAGTCCTTTCCACAAAACTCACACGTATACTCCCGCTGATCTGAAATACAAAAAAATATTCTGTCAGAGGTTGACTTATATAGTTTTCCACTAACTTGCACCTCGTGAAACTCAAAAGGAAAACCCCGAAATCGGATGGCAGGATGTCAATTGCTGTCGGGTTTTTCTGATGCACTATGGGTGAAAATGTCGTCAGAGGGACTAAGGGTTTTGGTAGAAACAAGAAATTTGGTTCTGCAGGTGGTGCCTCAGGCCAAAGTCCTAAGCACAGAACTTACAAGCGTACTTCCGCTACTCTGAAAAACTAAAATAATTGCGTCTATCAGAGCTTGTCTTACATAACTTTCCACTCACCATCAGTAATTAAATGCGCATCTCACACTATGTGAAAAGAATGTCAAATAAAAAGCTGTTTTTCCTGGAGCAAGGAAACTAACAACACCTAAACCGCACTTAACTTGATCAAAGAGAACATGCTAACGGAGGTTTCCACAACCTGCTGGGCAAAGTTCCCACGATCGAGGTTTTTTGACTAATTCCAGTTCTCCAAAGTTTTACGAATGAGGCATCCACCGACGGATGGATAGTACATAAAATTAACTGTGAAAATACAAACGCTAATGAGGAAGAGATTTGTAGCCCCATCAGCAACTAATCTTATATGCAGATCATCTTAAATCGTAAACCAGGCAGACCGGACATAGTTTCGATTCCCAGAGCAAGCCGGCGACATTCCAGC